CAAAAACACGATTTTCGGAAGTCCACATTGACATAATTGGTCCACTACCCTCATCGAATGGCTATAGATATTGCTTAACCGCAGAAACAGTCGCAACTTCATTCATTTCTGGATGGATTGCACTATTTGGAGTTCCATGTCAAGTTATAACCGACCGTGGAAAACAGTTTGAATCTTTCTTATTCAAGAATCTTTCAAAAATTATAGGTTTCAAACAAACAAGGACGACAGCATATCATCCATGCTCAAATGGTTTAGTAGAGAGATTCCACAGAAATTTGAAAGCAGCGATAATGTGTCACTGCGGCAGTAGTTGGACAGACGCTTTACCATTAGTGCTATTAGGAATCCGATTTCCGTGGAAGAAAGATTTACAAACATCAAGTGCAGTGTTGGTATATGGCGAACCTTTGCGCTTGCCAAGCGAATTTTTGACAGCAAATACAGAAAATACAGTCGACAGCTCAAATTTCATATTAAATCTCTGAAAAATTATAACGAAACTTCGGCCACAACCAACAGCTCACCACAGAAAGGACACACCATTTATTTTCAATGACTTAGGCGCCACAGAATTTGTAATGTTAAGAGACGATTGCATCAGAAGGTCACTGCAATAGCCGTACACCGGTCCATATAAAGTCCTTGGTAAAAATAATAAAACAATCACTTTAGATTTCAGCGGCCGATGAGAGACGGTTTCCACAGATCGTGTGAAGCCCGCTTACGTCCTGAAGGATCTTGAACAGCCTGATCCTTTGCAATACAAGACGAGGTATGGACAAAGCATAAAGTTCAGGATACCAACCTCCGGTCTCAGTAAGGGGCTGGTGTAGCGACCCTGCAATTGACCACCTTAGAAACCATGGCCAATAGCAGACGTCCACGTGGTTAAGGTTTGGATATAAAACCTAGACCTATTATCAAACAATTCTCACTCACTCTCCGCTTATCGCTTGTATTACATGTAGTATAAATAATAAGAATAATTATATATTATTATTATCAACATTTGTTTACCTACATAATTGGTGACCCGACAACGACGAAGAATATTATGTAATATCGAGCTCGACAGAAGACCTGATAGCAGCCCCGACAGAGTACCCGACCGCAGTGAATCGGAGGTACAATAGGATCTTGGTCATCATCAAAACAATAGCAAGCAAGTACGACAAAATCTTAAATTCATTGTGTTGTGTATATTCAATATTGTACCAATATTTAAAAGTTCACTAGTGGAGTAGTTAGTTTTTTTTTGTGAAAATATTTTGTGTTGTGTTAATAAGCATATAATTAGTTTATTTCAATTTAAATATATTATTGTGTACACTACAATGGAAACGGCGACAAAAATATTAAGGATCAAGGCAGCGTGTCAATATCACCGAACATAGAAAGAATTGGAGTGAAAATTTCACCTTTCTGGGCATTCGGGGCATTCTGGGAAACCCGAATTATGGTTCGCGCAGCTAGAAGGTCAATTTTTGCTAGGAAATGTTTTAGCCGACGCAACAAAGTTTTATATTGCAATTTCACAACTTGATACGCAACACGAAATCGAAGACATAGTCTTCTCCAGACACGAGAAAGTACGAGAAGTTAAAAAAAAATTAATCAAGCGTTCATCAAAATCCCGCGAACAAAAACTTAAACAACTACTCGAACATTAAGAATTGGGTGATCGTAAACCTACGCAATTTTTGCGACATCTGAGAAGCCTGCAACCCGTAGATACAGTTTCAGATTCCCTGTTACAAATAATTTGGAGTGATCGTCTACCTCAGTGATTCCCAAAGTGGTCCATATGGACCCCCAGGGGTCCACGGCGGCAAACACAAAATTCGGGGGTCCACGAAATGAAAATGGGGGTCCACGGCAGTGGATTATAATACACCATGTTAAAATATATTTATTTACGTTAAACGATAAATTAATATATAGATTTACAATGAATCTTCTAATGTAGTTGGAAATATTTAGAAATGATTCAAAAAGTAGAGAAAAACATTACATATTTATATAAAGTGTGTAAGTTGTAGCATGTAGGCATTCTAATTGTGGTTAAACTATACGCTGGCTGTTGAAAAGCTTAATTTTGGTAAGATTTTTGCCCTTAGAATTTGTAAATACCAAATATAGAGGTTTAAATGGCAATTTAACGAAGTGTGATATAGATACTACTTATTTGGATTCAATAAACAAAATTTTCTTTGAATTTTAGTCACCTCAGCAACGATTTTGGACTCAAGTGATTTGAACTAAACTTTTAGACATTTAAATTACACAGGTAATTTTGTGCTTTGGTGGACAGTAAATTATAGATATAGTTTATTTGTGGGTTGGTTATTGAAGAAAGTTGCTCATATGAAATGATTACTGACAAATGTTATAGGTTTGGTAGTGCTTCATGATGTTCCTGATTATATAATATAGCAGTTCTACCTTTAGTTGTACCACGTGGATTAATGTTGTAACTGGTTGCATGGCACCGTGCCTTAAGGCAAATTGCTGGAACTTTAAGTTTTTTCAAGTTAATTATTAATTTATTTCCCGTACCATAAATTAATTTTTTTAAAAAAACCTTTAAATTTTTTTGAAAACATTAAAAAAAAGATTTTTGAGAATTTTAAAATTTCTGAAAAAATTTTACTTTTCTGAAAAAAAAAGATTTTTTTTTTATATTATGAAATTTTTTTATATGTACTTTTAATTTTTCTGAAAATTTTGAACTTTCTTTGAAAGCAATTGTGCTGCGTGGCTATTTTAGAGAAAAAATATCGTAAGCATCGCATCGCCGTCTAACGGATTAAAATATCTGATAATTTGATATGCATTTGTCTAATGATCATTTTTGACCACCAAATGGCATTTTTTTTACTTTTTTCATTCGATCTCTGAAACCGCTAGACGTGCCTTCGTAAAAATTATTATACTATATATAAAAATTTTCATTTTCAATTTTTTTGCGATTACTATAACCACCCTACGGGAAGTTAGAAATCAAATTTGCTTAATTTAAAAAATCTATGTTAGTAAAGCGTATTATCGAAAATAACATATGATCAATTTGATGATGTATTAAAAATAATTATAAAGCCGCTATTTATTACTTAAGTTTTGAAACTAAACTCATTAATATATTTATCTCAGCGAAGTCCATTTTAAATTCATTTTGTTGCTTGATATATTAAGTTGAGCATAGTGTTATGTCAGCTTCACAGCCCTATATCGAATACTCTATTAGTATATACACCACTAGCTAGGACAGGCAAAGGGTATCGGAGATACCCAAAGATATCCGAATGCGATAACCCTAAGACGCACATGCAAGATTCAGTCTCTCCTTGGCAACTAGCGGCGATACTAAACTACTAAATTCAATTAATTACATAATTATACAAACTACATCTAATATTCATCAAAAGTTTTGACTTTCTTGAGTTTGAATTTATAATTATATATCCTCGAAATAATCTCCGCTGAAGGCAACAACAAGCTGTAGTATATCATTGTTAAGGCAGTGAAATATACGAAGCACAACAATAGAACGATCTGTTAATAGTATCACAGATAACAAATATATGTTACGTAGTAAAACGATACAATTTACGTTACGTTCCTTATCACCAGCATATTTAGGAGATCCAAATTTTAAATATTTTTGTGTTCTATGTGAACTACATATCGAAAATAACACACATCCCAAATTAAAATTGGATAAAAATCATCTAAAAAAGAAAAAGACAATATGTAAAAAGACCTGAACCTTTCCTAAAAATAAGTTAATGGTACTAATATCATTTTTTTTATATATTATAAAATAATTAGCAAAAAAATTGAGTTTTTTAATTTTCATACAGTAAATAATATCTCCACTGCACATCACTAATTTATAAACAAAAAAAATAAGATGAGATGTTATAAACTGCAGAAAAATAACAAAACAATTAGCAAAAAAGTGGTGTTTTTTAATTTTCATACAGTAAATAATATTTATAATAGTTCCACCAAACTAATAATTCATGCAATACTATGTAAGGGTGACTTTTGAACTATGTTTATAGAAAGTTGTCACAATAAATTAAAGAGCATGTTTTTAGGACGCAAATGCTGCAGGCAGTATTTTAAATGTTGAAAAGAATGCATGGCAGAATTTTTCAAAATTATAAAGCCGCTATTTATTACTTAAGTTTTGAAACTAAACTCATTAATTTATTTATCTCAGCGAAGTCCATTTTAAATTCATTTTGTTGCTCAATATATTAAGTTGAGCATAGGACGATCTGTTCATAGATAAACAAGTATAAATGGATCTGTTAATAGTATCACAGATAACAAATATATGTTACTTAGTAAAAAGATACGATTTAAAAATACAATAAAAACAGTTTGTTCATAAATATTTTTTTCGAATTACAATTGCGGACTTTTAGTAAGAAATTGATTACTATATGTTACAATGATCTTTCACCATGCTTTTATATTATATCATATATTTTTTATTCTATATGTTTTTCGCATTTGAGACTTCTATAAAAGTTTGTTCAATTTTCTTCATAATTAACTTGAAAAAAATACTATTGGCTTATTTGCTTTCTTTTTATTTTTAATTTTATGAAATTAAATTCGCCTTTGGAATTTTGTATTCAGCAATTTTCTCATTCATAACGTTTTACGAGAGATAAAAAACACATTGATTCACATAATTATAATTATAATTTGATAAGTAGTTGTAATTCAATTTTAATTAAGAAAAAAAAAATTATTAAGAAAATTTTAATTGAGATTTAAACCTATACTTTTCAAAAATCCGGGCAAATATTGATTTTTAAAAAACCCGGATCAAAAGATGAAAACTCGGAACTGTCCCGGATAATCCATAATATAGGGGGTCCATGACAAATCAAAAAATAGCGCAAGGAGTCCACGGCACAAATAAGTTTGGGAACCTATGGTCTACCTAGTCAGATACAAGCAATCATCGCCTCTATAAAAATATGTCTTTAGAAGCAGTGGCGGAGTTAGCTGATGATATTATCAATGTCATACCACCAGCATCAAGAATCAAAAGTACTGCAATATCTGCTACAAATCGTAATATTACAGAACTCGCAAAATCAGTGGAGGACTTACGAAAGCAAGTAAGTAAATTACTTGCCCAAAACAAAACCAAGCGACGTTCCATATTTTAACAGACAATCGAAAAAATATGACGTTTATTGGTATAACCATCGCTGGAAGAACAAAGCATTAAAATGTACTAAACCTTGCTCATTTTAGCATTCAAAAAACAGCAAGGGCAGTCGCTAATGGCGGCAAGTGATTGCCTCAAGACGTCGCACCGTATGTTTGTTACCGATAAAAATTCAAAACTGCAAATTTTAGTCGACACAGGATCAGATTTGTGTGTTTGGCCACGAAAATTATTACGAGGGCACTGCCAAGCAACAAATTTGAATCTTTATGCAACAAATACAACCACTATTAAAACTTACGGTGACATACATATACAACTAGATTTGGGCTTGAGAAGGAAATTCAGATGGCGCTTTGTAATAGCAGATGTGACAAATTATCCTATTATTGGCTCAGACTTTCTTCATTTTCATAATCTATTAGTGGATATTTGTCTTAAAAGACTAGTGGACGGAAATACAAACTCATATGTTGCTGGCATAATTAGAAGTGTCAACCTTACCAACATTACTACAATCACAGACGAATCTGAATATGGCAATTTAATTAAACAGTTTCCAAATATTATAAAACCTAGTGGCACACCAAGAGAAATTAAACACAATACTCTTCATCATATATTAACCACACCAGGACCACCAGTTATTTGCCGACCTCGCAGACTTAGTCCTGTTCAATATGCAAGAGCAAAAACCAAGTTCGATGCTTTGTTAGACGCTGGTGCTGTAAGACGTTCCGAGAGTCTCTGGAGCTCACCATTGGACATGGTGCCCAAGAGAAATGGTTCCTGGCGTCCATGTGGTGACTACAGAGCTTTGAGTGTACGAACTATTCTCGATCGCTATCCAGTAAAAAACATCAAAGATTTTTCATATAATTTATTTGGTTTTACCATCTTCTCTGTCATCGACCTAGTTCAAGCTTATACTCAGATACCTATTGCACCAGAAGATATTGCGAAAACATCCATCACAACACCCATTTGACTTGTCGAGTACAATTTTATGACATACGGTCTAAGAAACGCCGCCCAAACGTTTCAAAGGTTCATGGATCAAGTTCTTAAATGTTTAAACTTTTGCGTATGTCATATAGATGATATTTTAGTTTTCTCATGTTCACCAGAGGAACATAAACATCATTTGAAAACTATATTTTAACGCCTAGATAACAATGGCATCGTAATCAACATGGAAAAATCTAGATTTGGAAAATCAACTATCAACTTTATAGGCCACAAAATATCGACAACAGGTTCAACTCGACTACCGGAAAAAGTAGCTGCAGTAAAAGAATTTCCTACAACTAAGACAGCAAAAGAAATACGACGCTTTTTAGGTATGTGAAATTTTTACAGGGATTACATACCTAATGCAGCATTAATCCAAGCCCCACTTGATGACTTCTTATCATTGCACGCTCTCAAGAGAAACAGACCTATAAGTTTACCGGTTATATGCATTAAAGCAATTTGTAATATGAAAGAAGCTTTAGCAAATGCCGCACTCCTCGCACATGCTGATCCGAATGCAACTTTAGCAATATTTTCAGATGCTTCGGACAGAAAATTAGGTGCTGTTGTGCAACAAAAATCATCAAAGTCATGGCAACCACTGGAATTCTTTTCAAAAAAGTTGACTAAAAACAAATCAGCGTGGTCTCCTTATGATTGTAAACTTTATGCTGTCTACCAATCCACAAAACACTCTGGCTTTTTACTAGAGGGAAGACACTTCATTATATTCACGGGTCATAAACCATTAATTTATGCTTTCAGACAACGTAATGACAATTGTTCTCCGAGACAATTCAAATGGCTTGATTTCGTCAGTCAGTTAACAACAGATATACGTCATATAACTGGCAAAAAAATATAACAGCCGATACTGTATCAAGAACAGAAGCTATTTTTTTACCTATAGACTATACACAATTATCAATGTCACGGGAAAATTATCAAAAATTATTGGATTTATTGAAGCGCAAAGATACAGGACTCAAACTACATAGGGTCAATATTCCGGGAATAAAAACTAACGCGTACTGTGACGTCTCTACCGAAGTTCCACGGGGATTTTTAACAACACCTTTCAGTAGACAGATTTTTGATAACATCCATGGTCTATCGCACCCAGGAGCAGCAACTACAATGAAAATGGTTACAGATCGATTTATATGGCCAGCTGTCCGCAAAGATTGTCGTAAATGGTCACGAACGTGTATAGAGTGTCAGAAATAAAAAATTACACGTCATATGAAAACGCCTACTTGTAAACTTTCACTACCAAAAACACGATTTTCGGAAGTCCACATTGACATAATTGGTCCACTACCCTCATCGAATGGCTATAGATATTGCTTAACCGCAGAAACAGTCGCAACTTCATTCATTTCTGGATGGATTGCACGATTTGAAGTTCCATGTCAAGTTACAACCGACCGTGGAAAACAGTTTGAATCTTTCTTATTCAAGAATCTTTCAAAAATGATAGGTTTCAAACAAACAAGGACGACAGCATATCATCCACGCTCAAATGGTTTAGTAGAGAGATTCACAGAAATTTGAAAGCAGCGATAATGTGTCACTACGGCAGTAGTTGGACAGACGCTTTACCATTAGTGCTATTAGGAATCCGATTCCCGTGGAAGAAAAATTTACAAACATCAAGTGCAGAGTTGGTATATGGCAAACCTTTGCGTTTGCCAGGCGAATTTTTGACAGCAAATACAGAAAATACAGTCGACAGCTCAAATTTCATATTAAATATCTGAAAAATTATAACGAAACTTCGGCCACAACTAACAGCTCACCACAGAAAGGACACACCATTTATTTTCAATGACTTAGGCGCCATAGAATTTGTAATGTTAAGAGACGATTGCATCAGAAGGTCACTGCAACAGCCGTACACCGGTCCATATAAAGTTCTTGGTAAAAATAATAAAACAATCACTTTAGATTTCAGCGGCCGATGAGAGACGGTTTCCACAGATCGTGTGAAGCCCGCTTACGTCCTGAAGGATCTTGAACAGCCTGATCCTTTGCAATACAAGACGAGGTATGGACAAAGCATAAAGTTCAGGATACCAACCTCCGGTCTCAGTAAGGGGCTGGTGTAGCGACCCCCAATTGACCACCTTAGAAACCACTGATACCATGGCCAATAGCAGACGTCCACGTGGTTAAGGTTTGGGTATAAAACCCAGACCTATTATTGAATGACATGTAGTGTAAATAATAAGAATGTTCTAAAATTTTATTTATTTCCTCTGTGGTTAAATCGTCAATTAAGTTATCATGGTAAATTTTAACTTGTATATCAGTGTTTTTGAAAATATAGCGTATCAACATTCTAAAATTTTCTAAGGAAATGTGACAAAAACTTTTAAATTAAATAGGAGAAGGAATAGCTATTAATTTTATATTTTGTTGAATTAAATATGTTCTTAAGTTATACAAGCAATGGAAAAAGTCTTCGAGTGAAGATTGAGAGTTCATATTATTTACAATTGAATAAAAAACAGGCTTTTGACCAAAATTCATGGTGAAATTTTGATGCTTTTTACATTTATCGAGATATTCGTTAAAGTTCGTATGCTGAAAGAAATCTAAGTAATTGTTTAATTTTTCGTCGGATGGTTGATTTTTTATTACAAATAATAAGGCATTTTCTTTGTTGGCAACAGAAGTTAAAAATTTTTCATTTGATCCTTGGATATTATTGTTAATTATAACTGATGAACTAATGGTATTTAAAAAAATTTCAAAGTTAATTTCTTGATCTACGCGGCATTTACATAAAAGTGACATTTGAACTGCATTGTCAGAAATAACATTATTAGTAGTATCTAAGGCTGGTTTTTGTAAATCGAAGAAAGATCTAGATAAGCTATCGGCATTGGTGTTAGATTTTCCTAATTTATAAATTATTTCAAATTCGTATTCCTCTAGAGAAAGTCTCCAGCGCATTTGTCGAGAATTAGGATTTTTGCATTTATAAAGATAGATGAGAGGCATGTGATCTGTATATAATTTAAAGGGTTTGCCATATAAATAAGGTCGAAAATGATTTATACTCCAGACTATGGCTACCAATTCTTTATCTGATGTGGAATAGTTCTTTTCGGCTGAATAAAGTAAAGTCCGAGATGCGTACGCAATAGGCAAATCCTTTCCATCAATTTTTTGCGATAATATTGCGCCTAATGCAAAACCGCTGGCGTCTGTAGTTAAAGAAAACTCTCTGTCAAAAACAGGATAATGTAGTAAAGGAGGATTGATTAGCCTATATTTTAATTCGTTAAAAGCCTCTTCGCACTTATCAGTCCAAACAAATTTTACGTCTTTTTTCAATAATTCTGTTGAAGGTAATGCAATTTGCGAGTAATTTTTAATAAATTTGCGATAGTAGCCAGATAAGCCTAAAAATATTTTAATTTCTTTCTGGTTTGTAGGAGAAGAAAAAATTTTTACTGCGGCGATTTTTTGTGGATCGGAAGAAACTCCGTTAGAGCTAATAATGTGACCTAAATATGCGATTTCATGTTTCAAAAAATGACATTTTTCAGGTTGCATTTTTAAATTGTACTGTCTCAATTTTTCGAATACTTCTGTTAGTTTATTATTGTGTTCGTCAAGAGTTTTACCGTAAATTATAATGTCGTCCATGTAGACTAAAGTTTTTATTCCTTGTAGTCCTGATAGTACCATGTTGGTCAGTCGTTGTAACGTTGCAGGACCTCCTTTCAGCCCAAAAGGTAATTTTTTGTACTCAAAGTGTCCGAAGTCAGTCGAAAATGCTGTTTTTTCTCTGTCAGTCTCATTTAATAAAATTTGATGAAAGCCTTGGGCTAGATCTAATGTTGTAAAAAAAACAAATTTTTCCAGTTGGTCTATTATGTCTGTAATGTTTGGTAAAGGAAAAGCGTTTGATTTTGTGATAGCGTTTAGTTTTCTAAAGTCTATGCAAATTCTTCATTTTTTAATTCCGTTAGCGTCCGGTTTTTTTGGAACTACAATTAAGGGAAAATTCTAAAGACTTGGAATGATATCGTCGTCTAACATTTGCGTTACTTGTTTATAAATTTTGTGTTTATGGAAATGTGGTAGTCTATATGGCTTAACGTAAATAGGTTTGTCATTATTGTCAACTATAGGTATGGTGTGCTGTATGTGAAAGTTTATCATTTTCTAAATGAAAAAGATCTTGAAAATTTTAACAAATATTTAATATTGATTTTTTTTTCTAGTTCCGTCATCTGATTCGTTTGGATGCATTTTAAAACTTTATTTATTCTTTGATTTTCATCGTCGATTACTATTTCATTATATTGAACCTTATTGAATAAACATCTGATATCGATTGTTTCTTTATTTAAGTTGCCTTGATTTAATGATTTTGATTTTTGATTTATATTTATAGAGTCGATAATTTCATAATTATTCAACGGTTCAAAATGTACCTCATCCGCACTAAGGAATTGATCCTTCGATGTTGTATTCATTACACTTATAATGAAACAATTATCGATTGGCTTCGCAACACTATTGGCTAATATTAAACAATTATTAAATTGTTTTGATAGACATAAAGCATCTTCGGTTAATTTAGTATCTATTTTTATTTTCATTTCCGATCGCGAAGGTATTAAATTTTTTTGATGATTTACTAATGGCGTTGTAATTACTTGATCATTGAATTGTAGGGATAGTGATTTTAAGTCGTAATTAATATTTGCCTTAAATTTCATCAAAAGATCTTTACCGATGATGCCAGAATATTTTATAGGAAGATTTGATATTACTTGAAAAGGATATTCTATAATTTGATCTGAAAATTTAAGCTTAATATAGGAGACACCATGGGTGATAAGTGAATTCGCCGTGATTCCAAGTATATCCAAGTAATTTTTTATAGGGATATACAAAAGTATCTTTGTCTATAGCATGAAATTTAATTAATGAAATATCACTACCGGTATCTAT